GACGGTTACTAAGAATGTGGACCAGGGTAATACTTTGAGCTTACAGCTTGTCCAAGGTCATTCATTATTAATACTATTAGTAATATCTTCGGTAAAGACTTTGATGCATAAAATATTCCTGCATAATTAAAATATTTATGATAAAGGTGGTAGGATGTGTACTTTTGTCCAACAGAACAATCTTGCATTTAGAAAATATACCGCCTTTTTAATGTTTAATGATTAACATGCTGTAATACACTGTTTAAATTTAAAAGTCTAAAGAGTATACAACTTAAATTCTTAAATGAATAAAGATTGTCCCTCAGCAGTGATCGGGAATTGAAACCGACATTTTCTGGCGACAGCTCAAATGCTGTACAGGAGAGGTTAACCTTTATTAGCTCCACCTGGTGGTTTTACAAGGTGATTCTGGATACTATTAACATAATCTAATTTGCATTCGGTATGATGCGCTGTACTGTGACACGTCCACTGTGTTATACTGCAGCATACCCCACTTGTTTTGAATGGCTGCATCTGTATAAGTGACCCGGAAGGACTCGATGGCGCAGAAGCTAGTAGGTAGATACGAAAAGGCGGAAGTATTGGGTGGACAGCGAAATTTGTATTGAGTTTGGATTTAAGGAATAACGGAACTGCAACATCACATCCCGGAAAAAAAAGGCACTACATCTTGATAAGCAAAAGAAGCACAAATGCCACTCTAAAGTGAGCAAATGGAGCACTAAGAAATGCAGTGGGTTTCATTGTTTGTGCTATTTGTAGAGGAGGGAAACTTCACAGAGATGCAGACAACAGCTAGTTTTTAGTTTAGATTTCCTGGTTTTTAAAAGTCACCTGACCAAATTGAAAATTGTAGGTACTTCCCACTGCCATCTGGGGAATATAATTCAAGCATGAGACTCGTTCTGAAACTACCACCCTCTTACAATCATAACCATATTAAGATATGATTCAGATAATATATGCAATTTTAGATATAAAAACAGAGATGGTTTGATTGAAAAATATTTTAATATAAATTTTATTTTCATATTTTATCAATTTATACACTGTAAAGAAAATACTTAACTGAAATTACAAAACCAATAGAAATAACACATAAGTGATAAATGAATTATTTCTACACATTTATGCTTATTTTGCTATTAATTGAAAATACACAACAAATATTGTGTGTTTATTTTAAATCACCTTATTTGAAAGTGTTATGGAAAATGTTAACTTTCATTCTAGTAAATTTGCCTCGTGTTCCAGTAACTCTATGAGATTTCTTCAAAAGCACTTTGAAGAAAAGCACTTATTAAAGGACAGACAGAAGTTATAGTACAGTATGTGATAACTCCTATATTTTTCTATCATGATTGAAAACAAAATGGGAAAAAAAACATTGCTTAAAAAGTTCCTTTCAAAGTATATCAAATCATGTCTTTAGATAAGCTTCAGATATTCAAATGATTATAAAATAAAGTAACTGCTGATTTTGACAGCAGGCTTTAGTTGTTTATTAAATTTTTTAATTTATTAAAACATATATACTTATGGAAAAAAAGAAACACAGCATTTTCTGGAATGAGAACACTATAGTTACAGCTTATTTATTTTCACAAAAAGTTGTCAATTTGTTTTACGTCCTCTGACCAGCAATACAGCTTGTGTAGTAAGGCATTGCAACTTTCCAATTACTCGAAAGCTTGTTAGGTGCACTTTTACCCAACGAGGTCGAGGTGAAACAATGCCGGAACAGGTCACCTTTAAAAAGGCCTTAATGTCACCAGAAGCAAGGGAGAAGGCCATTAGCTTGCTGCAGGCAGGCATGCCATGTGCCAGCGTTGCCAGACACTATGGAGTAAGCCACTCCACTGTGTCCTGACTGCAGAGAAGGTTTCAGCAGACCAGCAGGACAGATGACTGTCCAAGATCCAGATGCCCTCGAGTGACCACACCAGAGCAGGACCGACACATCAGACTGGTCCATCTGAGAGATCATTTTAGATCTGCCACCCATACTGCTGCTGACACTCCCAGCAGACACATTAGTGACAATGCCCACATCAGTGACAGGACAGTGAGGCCCTCTGCTCACACCTTCTAGACATCACACCCGACTGGCTTGGGCCAGACAGAGCCTGCGATGGACTCCTCAGCAGTGGCATCAGGTCCTCTTCCCATCTGAGTCAATCTTCAACCTGTTCCAAGCAGATGGGAGGGCCAGGGTGTGGAGTAGGAGGTGTTGTCTCTTTTTTCCATCAGTATATATTGTTAGAATAAAAGTGCAAACCAATGTCAGTTATATTGACTGACTGGCTAGTTACTCTTAGTATATTAGTAAATATTTTTTCTTTCTATTTTTCATTCTTGCTGTGCAAGGGATTAAGATGGCCCCATAATTCCAAGCAAGAGAACAGAATTCTTTAAGAAGACGTTGACTTAGATGAAGTACTCTTTCTTGGTTTCATCCACAGTGTCCTGCAGTGAGGGATCACTCTTCAATGCAACATCAGCTGTCTCTGCAAACTCTGTGCCCTTCGCCTCATTTGTGCGGTAGGTACCTTTGTGCCGGTACATGTAATGGATCAAAACCCCAAGCAGACAAAGAAGAACCAAAAGTAAAGCAACAGTGACACCTGCAAGGGAGGAACAATTAAAGAGTTCATGAATAAAAGAGAATCTCACCACCTAAACAAAATATTTAGAAATTTGTATAGATCAGGTATTATCTGGCATCCTTTAACCTGATAATTTAGAATTAATTAAAATAATGTCACTACAAGTCTATTACTTTGTCAAGACAATGGAATCTGTCTAAACTATCAAAACTACTGAACACTAAAGGCAAGCTCGAAGAAACCTCTTTGAACAACATTAATGCTTAAGAAGAACAACACAATTTAATTTGAGTGCTTTTCTAAAATCACAAAACATACAATTGTGAGAGAAAAAGTTTGTGAACCCTTAGGAATTATATGGATTTCTGCATGAATGGCTCATAAAATGTGATCTGATTTTCATCTAAGTCAAAATAATAAATAAAGACAGTCTTGTTTAACAAAAATCACACACAACATTTAACATTTCCATATCTTATTATTATTATTGATTATTGATGGAAAAAGTATGTGAACCTTTATATTTAGTAACTAGTGGAACCTCCTTTATTGACAATAACCTCAGCCAAGCACTTTCTGTAGATGCTGATCAGACCTGCGCAGAAGTTAGGAGGTATTTTGTCCCATTACTCTATACAAAACTGTTTCAGTTCATGTATATTTTTGGGATGTCTTGCTTGAACGGCCTACTTCAGATCACACCATAGCATTTCAATGGGATAGAGGTCAGGATTCTGACTTGGCCATTCTAAAATAAAGAATTTCTTCTGTTTGAGCTACCCTGTTATTTATTTACTCCTGTGTTTTGGATCATTGTCATGTTGCATGACCCAAGTTCTTTTTGAGTTTTAGATCACAGACAGATGCCCTGACATTCTGCTGTAGAATCTCCTGATACAACTTGGAATTCATTGGTCCCTCAATGATTGCAAGCTGTCCAGGCCCTGAGGCAGCAAAGCAGCCCCACACAATTATACTCCCTCCACCATGCTTCACAGCTGGGATGAGGTTTTGATGTTGGTATGCAGTGTTTTGTTTTCTCAAAACATAACGCTGTGTACATTTACCAAAAAGTTCAACTTTTGTCTCATCTGTCCACAGAACATTGTTCTAGTAGTGCTGTGAAACAGGAGGTCTTTAACAAACTTGAGATTGGCAGCAATGTTTTTTTTTAAAAGAAATGGTTTCCTCCATGGTAACCTCTCATGAACACCACTCTTATTCAGTGTTTTTCTTATGGTAGACTCATGAACACAGACATTATCAAGTGCAAGAGATGCCTGCAAATTCTTAGCTGTCACCCTAAAGTTCTTTGTCACCTGTTTGAGGATTGTATAGCGTGCCCTTGCACTGATCTTTGTAGGATGGCCACTCTTAGTAGGCTGGGCAAACGATTTTTAAATTTTTTAAAAAATAAATAAATAATGAGATACAATGATGTGTTCCTGCTTAACTTAGACATTGCACGACTTTAAAACATACAAAAACAGGTTTCGAGAGTTAAAAACCACTTTTTCTGCGCGAAAAATGGGTGATTTTTCTTCCTCGTGATCAGCTCA